CCGGTATAAAGTAATATGAAAAGACTTAAACGACTCCCGGTAAGTTTTACGTAGCCGGCGGTAAACCGTGGAGGCCGGCACTGGGAAACCTGGTCGGGACGAATTATTTCACAAGTAATTCTCATTTCCCTTGACTGGCGAACACGATTAAGGCTTCGACTCCGACATTTTGTCGCAGGTCATCAAAGACCTCAGAGAGCAAGAGGAGAAACCTTTCTCTGTCGAGGAGGAGCAGACGAGGACGACAGCAATACAAGTTTGTCTCGCTTTATAGAGAGTCAATCGCGTCACTCAGCACCGAAGTTGGCTGTCGTTGGAGTAAACCTGAAATGCAGTACAAAGATCTAGTGGGAAGAAAGGACGTTTGAGGCAATTTGTGTGTGCAAAAGAGAGAAGAGTAGTTGACGAGTTAGACTGAGTCAGCAGATGACTCTCTGCACAAAGGGTCGATCGGTACGGGATTGAGTCGAGGATATGTGCAGGCTCCATTTGCGAGGTCTTTGTTTTTCTCGTGTCTCAGGTAAGTCTTCCAAATAGGTCTGTGTGTCTACTACCTACTCATCACGCGACCTCGAGTGGTGTGAAATAGCCCCTTGTGTCTACTCCCTTTGGTTAGCGCTGCTCTGGCGCGAGAGCTAGGTCGTAGTCTTTCTCGACCCTTGAAGTGAAGAAGAAACCAACAAATAACCGTTGCGTTAGAACATCACGTAATGGTAGACAGTGGAGTGGGCTAGGCAGGGGGACGTGGCTAGCCATGACGCGTACACGGCTCTAACCAGGCCTGAGGTCATGCGTTGGGTTCTACCTGTGAACTATGTCCACCCTAACGGATCGTTTCGAGTTTTTCATTTGCTCTCTCTACTCTAGATGAACACCATAGTCCCGCACTCCGCGCAGTGCTAAGCAAAGCCTTGTGTAAAAAAAATAACCCAAGAAAATAAACCCCAATTCGTTAACAGTCTTATATCACTCTTAGCCTAAATTGAAGACAATCTGTCGGTATACGGTATGTAAGAAACGTATGTCAGGTCATGATAAATAAGTCCATACTATCGACAGATTGTCTGTCAATTAAGTCAAGAGTGATAGACTGTTACAGTATATTGGGGTTTATTTTCTTGGTTTATTTTTCTCAAACATTTATTATGACTTGCAGTGCACATTATTGTTATTGAGTACAGGAGAGAGCAAAATAAACAAGTCGGAAACGGTTTTCGGTGACACAGTTCAAGGAAGGCGACCCAACGGCAGCAACTCAGAGAGGGGGGGGTTATACCCTTGTCGCTCGTGGCAGGCGTGTACGCGTCATGGCTACCCCGTCCCCCTCCTAGCCTAGCACTGTCACGGTTGGGCGGTGGTTGCCCTGAGCCAACACCTGTTCTCTGATACGTCCTTATTTTATTTTTATTTGATCTAATAAATTTCAAAATGTTATAAGGAAATGAATTCAATAAAAGGACAACTGTTTTTGGTCCGACAAATGTTTGCACGGAAAATAAATTTTTATCTGGCATACTCGGAACAGTCAACCAATAAAAACCGCAACAACGTGCAAAATGTTGTATGAATCTAATTGTGCCCAATTGTATTTTGTGCCTGAAAAGTCAAAGTATGAATTGACGCAAAGTGGTGACTATGTGTATAAGGACCTCCTTATTGTTGAGGGTACAGGCGAAAGCAGGTCTCGTCGCTCAAGGTTGCATCACTCATTTGTTACAGTATTAATTTTTAGGGGGGGTGGACGATATTGAAAAATGTAATGTCACAATATTTTTCAAGCAGTATCACGTTAGACGATATTTATCAAGATATTTTTTCATGTCGGTTATTATGGTTATTTTTCAAGTTACTTAACAGTACAACCACCTTCAAGGTAACAAAAAATAAAATAAAAAGGAGTAACAGACCAAAATACCATTTCAAGCTGGTTTTAATTCTGCAATGAATCCCTGAATGAACAATTCAACAGGAATTTTGATATGGCTTCCTCAGTGTTCAAGTAGGTAGGCCTACACCTACACAACAAATGTTAACACTGGTTTCTTCTCCAAGTAAAGTGCACTCTCTTGCTAAATAAAATAAAATATTCAAGGCACAGTTTCTCAGTATAAAAATTCACTTTATGTTTTAGGTAACACTAGCAGTGATGTGACATCAATAAACATGAAAAGGAGAGTAAAACATAACTAAGTAAAACATAAAACATCAATGAGGAAAAGTCAGTGACTGCCAAACAATTAAAATGTAAACTTTAGACTTGAAGTGCAATCAAAGACTTTAGCATAACTGAACATCTGTTTCAAAAGGGAAAAACAATATAAATACCTTATTGATAAAATAAAATATAAGCCAATAGAATCAACCAAGACAATAAATGAAGTGCAATACTGTCTGAATCCTGACTAGACAGCTTGGTTTTTACTAACCGTTATCAGTATTTAGTTACTTCGGCATCATTTTGAAACGTGTATTACAATTAAATCACAGTAAAATAGGTTAATTTTGTCGTAGTTGGTTTCCACCACAGTATTTACATGGATATAAGCCCCGCCCCCTCTCCACCGCATCCTGTTTGAATGACAGGAGTAAACACAGCTGACAGCCGTTGAAACTCCAGCGGTTAGAGCGATGAATATATTCGCATCGCGTCCGTTGTGAACGCAGCATAATGCAGTTCAGAAACCACTGTTCTGACGCCTTTAAAGCAACTTCGAGATGTTAACAGTATCAGGGGCACACAGGCCATGGTGGCCGTACAATTATTTTCGGGGCTTCACGGCCAGACCGAGGGGCAATGACGGCATGGCCGTCATGGCCGCCGTGAAAATCCTACCCTGGTGCACTCGCAGCACTCACATTCTATGACTGAGTGACTCTTTGTATCACGATAGATATGATATCTCTGAAAAGGCATATTGTGGAGACCTAATATCGTCTCGACGATATATATCGTCATATCGCCCACCCCTAGGTCTACAGAAATAAAAACAAGTTTCAAAGGAGAGGAGGAGTGTTGAAAACCAAAACATTTGCAGATGATATGACGTCAAGGTGAAAAGCAAGAGCCCCGGTCACCTGGAAATATTTTGGAATAAGCAGACCAAACATTTGTTCAACCGTAAAAATAAAATGGGCGCTCTACAGATATTGAGCGTCATGGAAGAATATCTTCTTTCTATATTAAAAATGCTTTGGGTTGTAAATTGGTAACATTGATATTTTAAGATAATTATACAATTAATGAAAACACACCAGCTACTTAATAATTTTTAAGACACTCATTGACTAACATTAGTTGACAGCTTTCAACCACGTGAATCCTCGTACTGACTGTGAAGACTGGGTCCATGTCGTTTTCGGAGGCCTTGATTGGGGAAAAAAACAAAGATTTCATGTTAGTCCCAACCATAGACTGTATATATAAAGGTCCCAGCCCAGGGACATTTTGTTTATTTTGTTGTTTTGTCATTCAAATATATTGTCTGATGTTTTTTAAGTAATGGCAACAAGGAGTGTAAACTGTTGAAAACACTTTCGTTACCCAAATAAAACAAGCAGTACACACCTTATCTCCTGTATCACTCTCAGTGTCGCACTGAAACAAAGACAGAAACATTTGATTTAATCCATTAGAATACTTAAGGCAGTTTGCAAAAAGAAATGTCACAATGATTATAGAAAAAACTTACAATGTAGCCGGTCTCCAAAGGGTGTCCCTATAAAAACAGGATATACAATATTTAATATATCATTTCGAATAATACTTACTGGAAATGTAGATTTAGAAAACTATAAAAAAGTCTTCAATAAGACTCTCTCCTGCTTGTAAGAAATAACACTGAAATAAATAACAAATTATGGGTGATGTGAACCAGTTGTACTGCCTTGTTTTCAATGGTAGGATAAATACAGGTCAGCAGCACAACAAAACATTTTTAAACATTTGCAAATAAACAAATGCTTCATGTCATTACTTTTGAATATGAGAATAGCAGCTATAGGTTCAGTAATACTTGCCGTTGTTGTTACTATCATTTTGATAAACAAGTTATTATAACACTTAAAGGAATACTTCACTGACAAAACTGTCTAATGTATAACCAATTACTTAACTGGTGTAACTGATATTGGTTAAGAAAATGTTTTGAGTGTTTCTTGCATGACTTCTTTGTTTACAAAAGGTTAAAAAACACAAAAAGTATGCATGTTGCCTAAAGTGTAAAATGCATTCTTTTAGCATGTCATGAGCAAAAGACTGGATAACTGGGGGTGCATTATTCTGGACTTGAGTTCATTAACATATTTTTTAATTTAGATTTCTTTTGGTAAATGCAGCCACTATTTACTTCAATTGAGTGTTTCTCCGTTAGTCTTCTGCTGCCAGAACAAAAAACATTATCCACAAATTAACGGTAAGATGGAGTGAATAATTGATATACAAATTAAACAAATCATTTTGGGGGCTAAGTATTCCTTTGACATGAATTATATTGTTACGTTGGTATGTGAGTGACAGCAATATGATGGGTAATGCCAAAGCTTACCCTGCATTTATTTTTATTATTTTCTTTTCGTCCTGTTGTTTTATTAGTCGAGTTATTTTCTTTACTGTTCATGATGTCTTTGTTCTGTTTGAATTTACAAAAAAGAATTAGCTTAACATCTAACATGAAAAGATGATGGTGGATCCGAGTCGACCAAAACATTGAAGCTCAGAGTAATCATCCGTTACCTCGATCTTTCTCCTCTTATTTTTACTCTTGTTCCAGTAGCTGCTGGAGTAGCTGTGCGGGGCCCCCTCCTCCGGCTCCGACCCTCCACCGTTCTCCTCGGGCCCCCTCTTCCCCTTGTTCCTCCTGCATGGAATATCAGTGCGCTGACTGGGCTTCAGAGAGCAGTCCATCTGATAAGGTGGAAAGAGAAACAGTGTTTACAATACATGTTTAGCAATAATCTGAACCGGTTCTTCGGTTCAGCTCCCGCTCTGTTCACACCGCTCAGAGCCCGACTGGTGCTGCGTCATTGCGTCATCGTTTGCGTGCCTGCTTCATAAAGCCAAACCGCGCGGAAACCCCTCACATCGACAACAACAACAATGGCCGATTGTATTGAAGCGCTACTCATTTTGGTTTTGCTTACATTCGTTACATGCTACATTCAAAAGTTCTTTACATTTATCATCAACTTCAACGACGATTCCGTAGGAGAAAGAAGGTAAATATACGTCCTATTCGATGGCGTTAGAGCTAACGGTTGTTAGCCTCTGCATGCGCCAAGCTCAAAATACCCAGCTTTGCAGCATTAATTACTATGGTATAACATTAAAACTGAGTCTCAATGTTATTTCCACAGATCATGTTGAAGCTGGCGGAAAGGCGGATGTCGCGTGTTATTTGGACACAGCCCAGATCCGAAGTAAGCGTGACGTATGCGGTGCTTGCTTTCTAGACCGACAACTTTTTGGTGCTTGAAACGAACCGGATTCCGGAGCTTAGAGGCGGCTCCAGCTGCGGTGTGAACAGGAAAAAACTGTGCTTTTCAAGCTCCGGCTCCGAACCGGCCCTGGAACCGCGTTGGTGTGAAAGGGGCAACAGATTGTGTGTAGACTCAATTATATTTTTTAGACTCTTTGTTATGTTACGGCTTTTGCTTTTATTGCTTTGAAAAACTATTTATTTCAATTGTGTACCTACTTCTTTGTTTTCCATTTGTATTGCAATTGTAATGTTTACTTAATCTCTTGTGTTTAGTATATTAAATATATTCTATGCCCCTTTTAATTAAAATCTTTTTTTAATCGCCATGCGCTTTAATGCTAAAAATATATTCTAATATTTGTTTACATCTCATTTAAAACAAAAAAAACGTAGAGCCTTACAAACAAACCAGTTTGATAGGAGTACATTGCAGTGTATAGGGGTTTCTGTCTTTCCGGTCACTTATTATACTGATCGTTGGATAAACCTGAGGAGTTGTGAGATGATATATAAGCGAGAAGGAAGGAGCATTTCTGTTACAGAAACAATTTAAATGTGTTCACTGTTTCTGGTAAAACCCTTGAAATATATATTTTTCAGACCTCTGTTATGAGGTCATAACCTAGGCATTAAAGGGTCACATCGTCAACATGTTTGAAACCAGTAACTTATCTATAAAGATTTCAAAATGTTTATTCAAACTATGGATTGTTTGTAATAGAAGAAATGTATAAGGGGCTTGAATCCAGATAGAGAAAATAAATAAAAAATGACAAGGAACTGTTAATGCTGAGTTTCAAAACTACTCTGTAGAGTTTTAAATCCAGTTGGTTATTAGATGCATTTAGACGATGTAAACTTAGAATACACTCTTTTTGGTATAATCCTTCAAAGTTCACATGAAGGTCACCTCAGCTTGTCTGACAAATCGGTGGAACTGTGTTTTTTTATGAATGATCTTCTATGGAATAACATAGGGCAGTTACTGCCATTAATAAGATCAGACAGGAAGTTCTACATTCGGAGAAGGAAATTGCCACATTCCACGCGTAATGTGTATTTCTATTGCACTATTTTTTTCTGCTGGTAAGTGTATTTTTTTCTATTAGCATTTTCAGATAGTAACCAACCATCAATGTGCGCAGTCACTGTAAATTCAAGTTAGCCAAGAGAAAAGTGGAACTGGGTTTTGCAACATAACCTATAGTCAAATAATTTGGTTTCCTGTCTTGAAACAGAGGTCGAATAGACCATCAGACCCAACCTTAAGGTGGAATGACTAATATGAGAGATTATTTTCTCTTTATAAAAGTGTGATTGTCCCCCATGCATGCATTAGATAAATGCATGGTGGTACAATGCTGATTTGAGGATCCACATGATTGATTGACATCGGACCTAAGAAAGTGAGGAATGAAAAGCATTCCAGAGCACACCTACTTTAAAGCAAAGGCCCACTCACATTCTTCCTTAACTAGTCAGTCCTTATATCTTCATCCTCATAAATGTCTTACTTGGAGAAGGATATTTTTTGTATCAGAGTTGGAGGTAACAAATGATGAAGTAGCTTTACCCACCAAACAAAAAACTGTTGCTCTTTAGAATGTTAACAAAGACACTTAAAAAACAACTGGAATGCGTTTTATTGTGGTGTGTTTTAACCAATATCCCCTTTAGAAAAACAAGAACACACTGAAAAACATACTCTATTTGTGTATTTTAAAAATGTGCATATAAACCTATACTAAAACTAAGTTAAGACCCCGAGTAAAACTGCAGACCTCAGTTCAAATATTTCTTGTGGTTTAGTGTTGTTCGTTCATAGTCTGAATAGCTATTTGGCAGCTCTTCAACACCTCAGTGAATTAGGACATGAATAATTGAGGCCTCTCCAGACCCATCAGAGGGATGCCTTGGGGTTTGCCTGCCTGAGTGGATTGCTTTTTCCAGGCAAATGAATAGTGTCAAAGAGTTGAGGAGTTCATATCTGAAGCCTTGTCACACCTTTAGCTGGAGGGAAGAAGGCATGATTTGACGTGATGGGACATTAAATTAAAGAAGTCAATCCGTGCAAGAAACCACCGCTATGCTAAATTGTCTGAAACACTCATAAAACGGTCTGTCTGACGAATAAAGTTATTCGGATTATGAAATAGCAAAAAAGTACTATTCTCAAAATGTTTTTTACTAAGGGCTTAATTGATAGGGAGGTATTGAGAATAGTCGTCCTAAGATATGGCCGGTACTCTGGAACTTCATTCCATTAAGTTAACAGCTTAGGAAAGAAATACAGCATAGCATAGTAAGTAGAATGTAATAATGTCAGACTGGTGTTTGGGTGTTTTTTTTTTATGTATCACATCTATAAAGTTGTGTTGTTGTTGTTGCTGTTGTTGTTGTTGTTGTTGTTATGCTTTGTTAAGGTCGTGTTTGTTTATCTGAACATCTGAATATTTAGAACTGGAAGTTTACTTTATGTTATTGTTTAATTGGTGCCAGAACCATAACAACAATAACGAAATAGACAAATAGATAAACAGTCAATCTTACAAGCCAATGTATTATTTAATTAAGGACATGATCGTGTCAACTGCCACAACTCATTAAAGAGTATTAAATCAATGTGTTGATGTTGTTTGGTGAATGACAGCAGTGAAATATATTTACCTCCAGTGCCTCCAAGCTGACAAAGCTCGCGATAGCGAAGCCATCAATGATGTCTTCCTCGCAGGACACAGACTCTCTCTTCCTCCGGCGTGGAGGCCTGTGTCTCCCAAAACCAGGTCGGCATTCTCTCCCGCCGGGACCCAGCACAGTGTTCGTCCCACAAGCCTCCCGGTCGGAGCCCGAGGACAGAGATGTGGCCCGCTCCTCGGCCAGGTTCACTCTCCTCCTCCGCCGCTCCCTGTCGCGCTGTGAACGGGACCGTCGGCTCTGCCTAAATCCAGTGCTTCGGCTCGGGCCCTCCATGTTGCAAACCTCCTTTTGTAACTCCAGTGAGAAACCAAGAGGCACTTTAATCAAGTCCCGGTCCGGTCTAAGGCACCGAACCGCTAATAAAACACCACCACACAGACAGGCCCTCGCAGGGAGCCCCTGTTAAAATGGCGTTAATGGAACCAGTGGCTATTATTTACCGTCCTTTGACAACTGTCTATCGGCATCAGTGCCTTTCTTCCGGCGAAATTTGAGTGTCATTTCAATGAATCTGAACGAAAACTTAGCCCCACATGGGTATTTAAAACTATCCACGACAGACACTTAAATGTCAGGACATTGCTGTTTAGATGGCTAACATTAGCTAGCTAGCAAGAAATCCAACCGACATTAAGTTATACGCATGTAAACAAAAAAAGACCAACGTTACTTGTGCTGCGGACAAAGCAGGCCAAATCGTCTCTAGATAAATTTCGAAATGGAAATCACATAAACCTTGTTATTGCTCATGCAACTCTTGCTTGTAGGATTTCTTTTTTTTTCTGCTGACAATTGTATTTGCCTGTTAGCAAAAACGATAGCTAGTTAGTTAGCAAGGCCAATAACCCAGATATCCGACATTAACACAACAGTGGCCGTGACATTATTTCGTATTAATGTTAAATGTAAAATGTTATTGTTGACAGCGCCTGCAATTTACTCCCAATATAAAAAGGAGTAAAATGTTGTTTGAGTTAAAGTAATGCGGGCTAACGTTAGGTCAGTGTTGACTCCAGCTAATTAGCATTTTGGTAGCATTTACACGGCAATACATTACAATATATTTAGCCAGTGACCTAAGAATACAACTATATTCTTAAAACGTGTCTGGAAAAGACTGACAAGCCGGACAGTTTACTGTAAAGCTAACCTGTAATCTGCAAAAATGAGAACAAATATGTCCACTGCCGAAATGTGTTGATGGCCGATAGTAATGGTTGAATTCACATCAAAAGAAAGACGTAACTTTAGCATTCGGGCTCGCTAGCGTTAGCTGATCCAGCTGTTAGCCACAAGCAATATGTGTTAAAGGAAGCAGGACGGGGTTGTTTTGCAACCAATCGTCCATGAAAAATGATTCTTAACACCCAACCCTTCTGTCGTTCCAGCTTCACCATAAACGGAAAAAAATCAAGGCCCAAATATTAAAGCCTCGGTGTCGATTTCCATAAACGAGGGTGTCGGCCAAGCCCCCGTTGGGCTGGGCAGCTCCTTCATGCAGCCTTCACTGTGGTGTAATCCAATGTTTGTGGATTAGTTGGACCATTTGCCGACGATTCCGCACAAAGATTTCTTATTCTTACTAAATCCAAATACATACGGAGAGAAAGCGATCGGCTCCGCTGCACCCCCTTCACAAGTTTCAACGGAATTGGAAAATAATCGTGAAAATCAGGGAGACACAACCCTTGTCAGCCGTGCAGTGCATTGTGTGCGCCGCTCTTCTTCCCCAGTCCTCAAACTGGGCTCGTTGGGAGCTCTGTTGATGCATACTGCCGCCATGCGGAGTGTGTAAGGTATATTTTATTTTTGTTTTATTATGAAAAGCAGTTTTATTCAATATTGCATGAATACTTTGAATTATTTGCCAACAAAAATAATTAGACTATTAAATAAACAAATATGACTATTCATCATAAATGACGCAAAACTCAAGACACATAAATATATATACATTAGTCAAGGTGCAATAAGTAATAATGGGGGTAAAATAAAAAATGAATTTGATGCTGTCTTCCACACCTTTTAATGTCTGATACTTTGACTCCTTATTTGTTAAAAAATGCATAAGAATCTGACTTAAGTGTGTTTGGTAGATTTTTCCTACGACCTTATTACATCTGTATAGTATGTATTAACAAAGATGTAAAATATTTTTTCCTGAAAATATAAAGATGCATTATTCACTTTATTTGTATTGTATTTGATGTTTCTTTTATTACAGGTTATTTGTTTTTTCGAAATAAAAATGTCATGTCATTTTCAATATTTGACGTAAATATATAATTAAGTTGATACAAAAGCAGTTTTGTGTGTATCTGCTAATTTTCTTTTTAAAATGTTATCATGCACACATGGATGTTTGTGAGATACAGCCCTGGAAGTTCATATGCACAGTGTGTGTGGAGAAGATTCAAACAGCCCAACAACAAACACAAACCCTAACAAGTGGATAAGATCAAGTCATATTTTATTAAAAAATTAAATGTAATCTATTTAGACCTCCTTATTGTTTTACGTACAGCATGTACAAAGCATGCAGTACAGTGTCAGATAAATGACATTGTTCCAGAGATATATATTTTTCTTGTTTTTGAAAAGCAAAGTTTAGTCTCACACTTCCATAACCTGCAGTAGTCTTTAAAGAAATATCACAAATATATGATTTCATATTTTAAAAAAGGGTCTGTTATTTCCTGAAACAGAAACAAAGAGGAAATGTTTCATTTACTGGGAACTACATTCAGCTGCGGAGTTTTTGAGTTTGTGTGACAGCAGGACGGTGTTTGTGGGATTGAGTCAAAACAAAACTACAGTGTGTGTTCATACTGCAAAAACATGTCACCCAGTACAACAGTGTGCCTCATTGATATTTTTTTAATAGTTTTTGGACAATAATGGAGCTCTATAGCACATAAGAACCAGATACACTGATACTCCCACAGTACTGTGGAATGTGTTGACAGAAACAACATTATAGAAGATCATCCTTATCCTTTAAAGCCATTTCTGAAGATTGCCGTGATGTGTTCAATTTCAAATACATCGACATGTCATTCTGTCCTCCATAACATTCTCAGTTCCCTTGCATCTTGCATAGAGTACAGACAGATATGGAAGGTGTTGTTCATCTGGCGGGCCTCCTGGAGGACAGCAGAGAGTAGAGCAGAATGCCTGAAGCTACAGAGACGTTGAGGGACTCGATCCCCCGGAACAGCTCTCTGCCGGCGGGGATGGTTAGAAGTGTTTGGCACAGAGAGAGCAGCTGCTGGGACAGTCCCTCCCCCTCACCCCCCATCAACAACACCGTGGGTTTGGTCACTTTGAAGTCTGAACACAGGGTGATAGGAACCTGGGACTCCTCCCCTTCAGCTCCCACCGTGCCCACCACCTGCCAGCCCTGCGCCATCTTCATCTTCAGCATGTCCTCGAGGTTTTCGTATCCGTACACCCCAATCACCTCCATGGCGCCTGAGCTGGCCTTGCTGACCACTGGAGACAAGGGGCAGCTATCATGAAGGCTGCTGACAACTCTGTCCACGCCGAGAAAATAAGCCGAACGCAGTATGGCGCCGAGATTCATGGGGTCCTGAATTTTCTCCAGAACGAGCCAGAGAGGAGTGTCCCCCGCGTTGGGTTTAGAGTCTCTGTCTTCAGTGAGATAGCCCAGAGGACTTGCCTGCAGACACACTCCCTGATGCACTCGCCCAGAAGACATCTTGTCCAGGTCGTTCTTACTGACCCGCTGGATTTGTACTCCTCGCCGATGAGCCTCCTCACACACATTTAACACAGACGCCCTGTGAGAGGCCTCGCCATCTTTTACAAACAGTTTACGGGGCTTCCTTCTACCCTGAGTGAGAGCCAGGACACAGGGAGCGATGCCAAAAACAACCTCATATTTCTCTGCTTTGGAGTCCATTGTTGACTTATTCCTCTCTCCAACCGGCCACTCCTTCTTTTCTCCCCCAAACCTCTCCTTCCTCTCTCCCCCAAACCTCTCCTTCCTCTCTCCCCCAAACCTCTCCTTCCTCTCTCCCCCAAACCTCTCCTTCTTCTTCTCTCCCACCACCCTCTCCTTCTCCCTTTTCTCTCCCTCTAGTCTCTCTTTTTTCTCCTCAGGGAAATCCTCCATACTCAGTCTCCTGAGTTCAGATGACATTCTGCTGTCAACCCAGCTCCTCTGATTCGGCTCCTTTATCACAGTTCTGTAAAATAGAAAGATCTTAGAAAACTTGTAATTTCAAAGCTGCAACACCACCTTACTGAAAGGGATGGTTTACATTGTTTGAAGTAGGGTTTTTTGAGGTACTCATCCAAAGTGACAATTAGGATAAGTAGACAGCAGTAACCATATGGAAGCAGAGCAATGAACTGCTATGGACTGAGGCAGCAGCAAAACTTATTTCAGCCAGCAGCAACTCCTGTATTCTGAGAGTCAAAATGGCTGTTTTTGCTAAAAAATTTAAGAGAGCATAGACAATGGATCCAGCTCCCCATAGGTAAAGGCTGTCTGACTGCAACATTAAACTGTTTCCCCTACCCACAGCAGTACACTGCTTAGCTCCTGTGTCAGATACTACTACTACTATGTGTTTCTCCAAACTGGGGGCGTGCCGACTGCCATGTACTGTAGGAAATACACTCACTAAAGATAAGTACATCAAAACATTCAAATTATATCTTTAATTTCTTGATAACTAACCAATATAATTTATTAAACAAAACTAAAAAACACACATTTATTTTGTAGAGGACATTTTTCCAAAGGTCGTCTTTTTTTCATTACAGGTCTAAACTCCACTTTTTTTTTATTACAGGGGACTCTCATCATTTTTATTTCCATTATTTGTGTTGTTAACTTAATAAATGTGGAATTACTCAAATAAAATGTCCCTGAAATAAATAAAAGTAGTCTAATAATTATAAACGTCCAGTTTGAATAAAAAAAACTATTTATTAATGGGACTTGACCCATTTATAATTACACGTATTTATGTTTGATTTAATTATTGTATTATTATTATTATTTCAGAGATATCGGTGTTTTTTTTAATAGTCACAATTATAATAGATAAAGAAAATAGCATTCAATATGAACTGACCTCTCCTGTGTGTGCCATCCATCAGATTCCCCAGGCTGGTGTTGGACCCCGGAGGAGTTTATTGAAACTCTGCGTCGTCTCTTCAGCACAGGTTTGCTGCTGCTGTCCTCTGAGCACAGCACAGAGGCTGAGACATGATAAGAGTCCACTCTTGAGATTGATTCCGGTTTGTATAATCTTCTAGCCCAAACCAGTAGCAACCTCTGCTGATGTGCAATGCTATTTACCCACATATTGAAATAGTTGTAATAATGTCCAGATGCACTAGGAAGGGAAGCTGGCCAGGCGAAACGTCCAATAATCTATACAAGTTGTGTCGGCAGGTTAACTCCTTAACTATTATCAAATATTTCCTTTGACCAAGCATCAAAACCCACTGTCTTCCTCAGGAGAGGATGTTTGTGTGTCCTTAACATGAAATTCGCACATGTGCAACCTAGCTACATAAAGCTAACAACATTAGGACCGGATGTCAAGCGATTTCACCTAGAGAATAAAAGCCTCACAACAAAAGTTTGCCATTTGTGTGGGATACATGTTATTAAAATAGATCTTTACTACACTAGCAACAGAACACATGATTTCAAATAATTAATGTTATGATGCCAGGCTGAACATAATATCTGTCCAGAGTATTTACCAGTGTACTGGTGCAAAATAAAGCACAGTTGTACGTTTTTTTTCTTTTTCTTAATTTTTTTGGATCTGAGTACTACCACTAGGCTTTTGTTTTTTCTGTGTTTCAAACACAGAAAGCATTCAACAGCAACCGTAAAAAAGACATACAAGTAAATAAAAACATCCCAATCCCAAATTAAAAAGACGAAGGATTTTATTTTTAAATGTTGTTTTTCTCTCTGTGACGCGTGACCTTGACACCCATGTGACACATACCGGCAAAGAAACCGACGTCTGTTTTTAAAGTCTCTAAGGTGCGTCATCACGTCACTTCCCGGAACCTATCGTAACACGGAAGTGAAGGAAAGAAAACAAATAATCGTTCAGAATTGTGGCGAGTTGAAGTCGGAGAAAACGCCTTAAACATCGTTTAACCTTCCGGATTACCGGCTTTAGACGAAACGGTGAGACTAACATTATACCGGGTCTGGATTTTGTAAAGCTTTGTTTGGTATTTAGTTGTAGGACTAACCGTTTGTGTAAGATGTTGAGGCAGTTTTGGAATCGAATACACGGCTTCGGAAACCTCGGGCCTCTAGTCACATTACTAACTGCTGAGTAATGTTTTCCAGGAAACAACAGGTCACCGGGTGGACCATTGACTTTATATGAAGACTGACATAGCTTAAACTGTTTTAAAAATGACTGATTTAATGTGTGTTAAAAAGTATGGTTGGATGAAGCATAGCACAGAAGGTAAACACCAGTCAAACGGAAACAAATATATTTTTATGGAATTTGTTGAATGATCTGGTTTTTACTAGATTTGACCTCTCTTATCTGTCAGTAGTGTTCAAACAATTATTCAGATCATCTACAGTAAGAAAGACTGAAAATGTGTAAAATAAGTAAATAAATACTTTTTAAAAAATCCTGCTTTAGAAATGTTTACTTTAGTCAAAGTATGTCAATATAATCAGAAAAGCATTAAATGTTTTATTTGTAAAAAATAAGGAATGACAACAACAAAACAATAGTTGGACCAGTTTGACTGTGTACATTTTACTCACACAAACCTTGTTTTTACAACTTTTTTATAATAAAGAAAAGCAAGAGAAAAGATTGTCACAGGAGCAACATTTTCTGACTATTTACTAATTGATTAATTTTCTAATCATGTCAGCACTGGTGTCATTAATGTCTTGAATTGAGTTTTTTAACATTATATACTGAGCTTGAGTGTTTCGACCTTCTGCCTTTGGTATTTTCAAACAGATGGACTTCCTGTTTGGAAAGAGGAAAACCCCGGAGGAGATGCTGAGGCAGAATCAGAGGGCGCTCAACAGAGCCATGAGAGAACTGGACCGAGAGCGACAGAAACTGGAGCAGCAGGAGAAGAAGATCATCGCTGACATTAAGAAAATGGCCAAACAGGGACAAATGGTGAGAAAAGAGAAAAAGTACCCAAACTCTGTTTGTAGCTTCAATTCTAACATTGACTCGTGTGAACATTTCAAATAACTAAAAAGTCCAAAACTCATCATTTATTGAAATAAAATAGATGGTATCACTTCCAAAATTCCCAACATGTTTCTATCAAACAAGGATTCTGCTTAAATCCACATTTGTTAGTATTAAGTCTCTCCAAAAACAATGTTTTTACTAAAAACATTTTTATTCCAGATGAAACCAACTGGCTGATTTGAAGAAATGTTATACATAAAGCTCATTTTATTTATCATGGAAAGTACCAGTCCAGTGAGTTAGAAAGAATAATAAACCTAGTGGTGAGTCATAGTGATGTCCTCGGGGTCATCTCGGCATGGCCTTTTTAAAAACATTTTATTTGTAAAGCACCTTTTTAATGTGTATTCTAAAAGTAAAAAGTAAAAAACTGTTTTCTTTCCTGTTTGGGAGGCACTTACCAATGATTGCTATTTATTAAAGAAAGTTAATTTAATCAAATAAAGACAAACTATCAAGCACTTTTTTCAAACCAGGGATTTTCTTCAGGATGATGAGAATAGATGAAGACAGAAACTTTGATGACAGATATACAAAGCTGCATTAGAAAACCAATGTTAGTTTAAAAAGATAAAAAAATGACATGCAGTACAGCCCCAGTGATGAGTGTTATTTTAATCTTTGCAGGACGCCGTCAAGATCATGGCTAAGGATTTGGTCCGCACACGGCGCTACGTCAAGAAGTTCATCATGATGAAAGCCAACATTCAGGCCGTCAGTCTGAAGATACAGACGCTCAAATCCAACAACAGCATGGCGCAGGCTATGAAAGGCGTCACCAAAGCCATGGCCACCATGAACAGACAGGTCCGCCCCTCAAACACACTTCAATCATTCAATAGAAATAAACAATAACAAACTGATGTGGACAATCTCCTATGTATTCCACGTTCACAGCTGAAACTGCCCCAGATCCAGAAGATCATGATGGAGTTTGAAAAACAGAGTGAGATCATGGACATGAAGGAGGAGATGATGAATGACGCTATCGATGATGCCATGGGGGATGAGGATGATGAAGACGAGAGGTGAGGGACTTTCTTTCCACATTTGTGTTCTGAATGGTAATAGCAAATATGCACATTTCACTCGAAGTAGAACTATCAATTATTACAAACAAGTTCTTACCAAAGGAATGATAGAAAGTATTTTTCTTGAGTTGAATCTTTTCAGCTGATTTTTCCAACAGTAGTCTCTCCAAAAAGAAGAAATAAGTGAATTAAAATCAGTAAATCACAACAATTTAAGTAGAATGCCCGTTTACCTCAAACTCCCACTTAATTACTTCTTTATTCAGCCTCCATATTTGGATAATAGTAACCCAATATATGTTTTGCATTCACTTGAATACATTTGTTATTGTGTACAGTGACGCCATCGTGTCCCAGGTGCTGGACGAGCTGGGTCTGAATGTGTCGGATGAACTGTCAAGTAAGAAAACGCAACACTTTGAGAGCACAATTATTTCAATTCTACATTTGCATCGTTTGGTCTTATTAGATCCCCTTTATGTTTATTTCAGATCTTCCGAGCACCGGAGGAAGCTTGTCGGTGGCCGGAGGAAAGAAGGTCGAGCCTCAGGCCGCCCTCGCAGACGCAGACGCCGACCTGGAGGAGCGGCTGAATAACCTGCGGAGAGATTGAGCACGCAGTGAAACTGTGGCGGAGTTGTTAATACAGATACAAACATACTCGAATCTCTGTGTTTAGATTCTTTTTGAAGGTATAACTGGCAAACAGAGCTATTTCAGCTGTGTTATATAAGGTGTGTGGCTTCTGTTCTGAGGTGTTTTCATTTTATGTGTGTTTTTATGTATTTTATCAAAAAAAGAAATACTTTTAGTGTCATTACCCTTCATAGGCCTGGTCTCATTTTTATTGCCAAATGACACAAGTTCTCTAAAAGTGAAAGATTATTTCGCTGTCTGTGTAAATACTAACTCCTCAAGGCATGGTGTTTTCGCAATTTAAATGAACACTAAAATGTTTAAAATGACCCAAATGAAAGTCGGTAAAAAGGACAGACGCGGATGTTTTATATGTCAGCACTTTTTGTACATCAGGCTGGTTTGGCTTTCTTTTTATCAATCTCATATAAAATACAGTTTTAGCCCCGGTGTCAGCTTTTAATGACTTTGGATCATTCTTCTTCTTTTTTTTGTCGTCGGGATCCAGTTGAAGATGGTGTACAAAAAGTGTCTTTTCTGTCTAAATGTATGAACGGGCAGTTTGTTTTAAACAAATATATAAAGATGAAGGAAAGAAAGGTGTCAGCTGACTCCTGTTTACTGCCAGGTAACCATGACTCTGTGATTCTCTTGAGAACAGCTGGATCTTCACCAAAGGTTTTAAAGAGTCAGTGTTTTTCATTTTTGAGAAAGTGTCCTGGTTTTGCTTTTCTTTATTCAATAAACATTTTTTTCCAGATGAAACCAACTGGCTGATTTGAAGAAATCTTATACATAAAGCACAGATTATTTATCATGGAAAGTATCAGTCCAGCGAGTTAGAATAACAAGCCCAATGATAGTGATGTCATCAGGGTCATCTCGGCATGGCCTTTTTAAAAACATTTTATTTGTAAAGCACCTTTTAATGTATATTCCAAAGTGCTCCACCAAAAAAAAGGTACTCGTAAAATAAAAAGATTATAAAAATGATCATAAAAGATGAATAAAGCAATGTACATTTCGGTTGCTAGATGAAAAAGAATGGACAATTCTGATATATTTTTTAAATAGTATGTGCTGCAAGTTAGGGAACACCTTTGAGTTGCATTATGGGAAGTGTAGTATCCAGTGTTTTTCGACCACATATTTATAAAACAATTTTTTTTCCATGTGGGAAATGCTTATTACATATCTGCGTCACAGTTATTGAATATAACTTGAATTATAAGGATCTTTATTAAATGTTTTTTTTTATAAAAAATAAAGATGGGCAAACGTTATAAAAAATAAATAAAAAATGTACACAACGAAAATTCAAATAAAGTAGACATGTTAATTTTATTCCAAAAGAATTTAACTTTCAAAACTGTCAATTTGTCAACATACAATCATAGAACAATATTGAATGTACTCAACCCGTCCAACATTAAATAATAAAAAAATAACAGCCATGTTTTATGTACATTTGTTTCTGGAAGCTATGTACAGAAAAATAACAAAATCAACATTGTATTAGCAAAAATCGGCCTACACATACAGATTGAAGCTGCAGAAAGCCATTGCATCATATGTAGAGAGGTTTAGCTAATGCAGCCAGGGTAAAAAAATCACACACTGCGATTGGAGCTGAGATTACCTCAGAAAGGGCGGCATGTTTAATTAAGAGCATACTATCGAACATCGCTATTACTACGGCTAGTAAGCTTAGTTATTGTCTAAAATGATTCCCTTAAAACGTCAGACTACTGCTTCAAGAGACCAAGTGCATACACACAACTTGCCTAGTGTTAACTGGATTTCAGCGTATTGTTAAGATTGTAAACACGAAAGATCAGTCATCAGACTGACTAGGAGTGCAGCTCTCACTGAACAGAGCAGCCGTAAATCATGCTTTCAAGAACAACATTGTGTAGCCCGATGAGCGGAGACTGTTCTCCGTTCGAGGGGTGAAGCCATGCTACCATGTTTTATTAAAACAGCTAAATAGAGTCCATGCAACTCACATAAAAAACAAATGTTAAAACAGGGAACAGAACTGTGGGTTTCACGTTAGTTCATCACCCCTGGAGTTAACCGTGCCGTTGTTTTCAAAAAGCAAACCAGGAACACAGAACAATCAGTTAGTTGCTTTTTGTTGATATTTTTCTCATGTTGAATTGGCACTGCTATTTTTTGTGAATCCATGCCGAGTATCTCATATCTAATCCTCATATCTTCTGATATCACGCTAAACATTGATGAAATCTTATTTTAATTTGTGTGCGAATAACGATATAGGCAATACACAGCACGATACAGTCAGATTTTGACTTGTTTTCCACTTAAGCTTGGAGAATGAGTGTACCCAGGACAAAAAGCTGGAGCGAATGCCATACAGCACAAGCTCTACTTTTGTCAAAATGGCAACAAGTGTTTTTTGCTTACCCCACGTGAACACGCCCAAGATTAGAGTCCATTTAATCCAGTTAGCTGATTGCATAAAAAGTGAAATATACTCCACTTTTACTCAAGTTTGGATGGCCCAGCTGCTACAAAATGTGTTTGATAAATGTGACAGAACATGCACATCACTGTTCCTCCATTTCTTTTTAAGAATGCAAACTGGGATCTTTAACTGCTGCTAACACAGGGACGGTTATCTTGTGGCATCAGGGTGTATCTCCCTTTCAGAAGTGTAAATGATTCATATCAAGGACACCCAGTGACGCAGCAATTTACGGTCCTCGCATAGTTTTCTGCAGGAGATCAGCTGATCGGTGGTGACATTTTGAGACTTCAGACTGAAAGCAACAGCGGTGATACACAGCGACTGGGGACTTTTCTTATCCCCCCTCCAGGCAAGACAAATATAGCATTTTCTAATCTGGGCATGGAGCGGCATCTCTCCACTGTTAACACACAAACAACAGTCTTTCACTTCCGACAGGTCCGGTGAGGAGTGTGTTTTTTGGGCACCTCTATGCGACATCGGCTTCGATCATCCAGCCAAGGCAGCTCGAAGTTCCTGGAGGAAAAATCATTATTGTATTATACAGATTAAGATATTTTTAGGAATAAAGCATTTCAGCATTAATACGAACAAATGCTCCTGAGGTATAACAGGCAGAATGTAAATGGTCTCTTTGGTTACTTTAACAGCTGTTCAATATAACTTTTTTAGCTCAGATCTTACATTGAAGCTTTAACCAAATATCTCAACTGCTTTCACCCACTGACACCCCCCTCTTTCATTATTCCTACACAGATTCACTTTTGAAAACATACTTTAAAACTTCCTGCAGTGCAGATTCACTGAAGTAATCAGATCAGTAACTTCAGTATGATCTGATCAGACAGTAAAACATAATAAAATGTGGGTCTGTGCCATGTGTCTTTCTTGTACTGCTTAAATGTTCTGAAACAAAATAAAAAAACAGCACTTACTGTTGTGAGAGTTTGGGTAACGGACGGCCGAATGCAACCACAGGCAAGAAGGGAGTGATCACTATGGTTTCAACTGGCAAAAAAATAAAACAATCAAGTTAAAATCTCTTGAATCCATTCATTGAAATGTCATTAATGTTGCTAAATTGAATTGCAGTAAGTCAATAGATGTACCATCTTCAGTTTCGGGGTAAAAGGAGGAGAGCTCTGGCTCAGTCTCAGCGACAACTTTCTTCCTGTTCATGCGCTGCTGGAGACGCTGAAACACACGCTGCTCTCTGATTCGCTGGATGTCCCACCTGAAAACACACAGGAAGAGTAAAGAATACGTTTGAAATCTTGCATCCTATTGATAAAAACAGACGGCTGGAAACTTCAGTACTCCACAACATCAATCAGTCCACAAGACAAGGCACTTCATCTCCACCTTCATGTATTTATAGATTTCAATAACTTTTTATGAAGAATAAATCTTCATCTCAATCAAACTATAATTCCTGTAACTCGGATTGGATGGCCAGAAATAAAATACCAGTAGTTTATAATTAAGTCTTTTGTTACAGACAATTTAAAGCATTGGGGATTCTTTTCCCACCTTTCAAATATGTGTTTGTTTCATATAACATTTGTTATTAACAATATACTTTTTTCATCCAATTAACATACTGTAATGACATAATGACCCTGTTAGTATATATGCTCTTCACAACAATTTTATACCAAAATAAGGGATCTTTAACAAAATAATAAATAGTGTTAATCTCAAACAAATATTGCCTACCAACATTATTATTTTATGTGATCTGTATAATCCCATATATTGTTTTTCAGACAAATCAGTAATCTAATTGTAATTTTCTCCTACTCCACATTTAATTGTCTTAATTTTTTCAATGCTTGCCGTTATATTTAATTGTATCTTACTTTGTTTATGTAACTGTATGAACCCAAGCAACTTCCGTTCATGTGTAATGTATCATGTCAATAAACCAGACCCAGATTCTAATAACTTAAGAGTTTGGTACCTTTTCCTCCGCTTCTCATCCAACTCCAGCTTTGCGTGGCGTTTCAAGAACACACTGTCGTCCATCGGCTGGAGAGGAAGACAAAGTAATACATGAGTTTATTGCATTTGGATTTAATGGGAGCAACTTTTCAAACTCTAAAAGTAGGAATTACTAAAAATGTGTCTCACCTCAGGAGGGATAAAGGAGGGATCATCTTCCAACGGCTCTATTGGATTTTCCCTCCAAGATGGAACTAGAAGGTTGAAAGACGGAGAGGATAGGAAGTTAGCCAGACATAGCTCGTTTTTATTTATTTTGGAGCTGATGGATCAAAAGATGAGATATAGGTTACGCTTACAAACAATCAGCATATCATGTACTACATGAGGAGTCCACTCACTGGCCACCTCTTCTTCCTTTTTAGGGGAAGTCTCACGTAGAGGCGAGAGAGGAGGTTGGTTCCAGCAACAGAGGTACATCTCAGTAGTAGACATGAAGGGCAAGTCGTCGATCTCACAACTCAGCCCGGGCTCCTCTTTGCACGGGAGCATGGGGTCCCTTTCTGACCCTGACCTCATTGGAAAGGTCTTCTCTGGGGTTTCCTTGCTGCGCAGCTCTCTCTGATTGGGAGAGCCGGGCTGAATATCAGACTTGTGGGGGCTGAGTTTGGCGCTTTTGCCCCGGGATTTCTGCCCTTTCACATCTCCAAAGCAAGACTTCCTGTGTAGGCAAATAAAAAAAACAAGAGTTACTGCAATGTGACAGGAAATAAAAGTAATTCATTGCAACTACCTGTTTAGAAGTCTGCACACACAAAGTTTGATCAGAATAATTAAGATTACAATGTGGAATTGATTGCAGTAGATTTTAATGTCCCCTTTTCTTAATTAATTGATCTACTGTGGTTTAATGAGATACCGCACACAAAAAAGCCCAGTGATGTCTGACAATATGTCATGATTATTCTGGACAAACAAATTGGGATATTATTCAGATAATCATCAAAACATGTTCAACACTTTAATTGCATTCAAGCATACTGAAATCCCTTTACCTTACATTTTCACAATAAATATTTACATTGCATCACATGTAGGACACACCCTTTTTTTTTCAAAATCCATTTAGTTCAAACCAAAAATCGAAATATCTTAAAATAGGAAATCATAAATCCTTGAAAAAAATAAATCCTAAAAATATAACGTCTTTTTACATGATCATTCCTGTACTATTTCTTTCACTTTTCAAATTTAGAAAGCTTTGTCAAGTCAATCATGTGAGGATATCTCTCAAAATAACTCTTCTGTTATAAAGTCACTACTCGCAAACTATTGCGTTTTTAATCGTGATCAATGACATAACTGTCCCATATCTACTTAATGCTATTTATTTACCTTTTTTGACCTTTGCCACCCCGACTAAAGGGGAGCTGATTGGTTGAGTTGCCCTGTTGACCCTCCTCTCCTTCCAGATCCCACATGTCCTCTTTGTCAGGGGTCCATGGCTCCAGGGGCTGGAAAAGGCGTTTATCTCTGGGCGGGTCCTTCTTTGTGAGCTGCAGGCGACGCTCCATGCGCTCAATTCGTGCAAGCAGCTGCAAACGAACAAGACACAACATTTTTTACTTTAAATCAGGTGTATCAAACTCAAGGCCCGGGGGCCAAATCCGGCCTGTGACTTCATTTTCTGTGGCCCCACAAGAGCTTGCAAAGAATATAATATGTTTATTATACGGTTACATGCCAATTTACAGAAGCACGTTGCCCATAAACTAAATGTCCCACAATGCATCTCAAATTTTTACTTTTTTCTTTGAATTTGCCCTTTTCTCAGAATTTGCTTTTTTTCAAAATGTCACTTCTTTTTTTTCCCTCAGAATTTGGCTTTTGTTTTTAAATCATTTTGTGACATTCTCACTGAAAATACTTGTAATTATTTGCCCTAGACTTCTGCTTTCAGACGTAGTCAATTATGAAGTTATTACCCTATCCGAAAAAAATCCAATGCAGAGGCAATAATGTAATATAATACGTTATTTTATATATATATATAACATATTTATATATGTATTTTTATATAGTCTTAAAGTTACAACCAGCCCTTTGAATGCAACCATAATGTTAATGTGGCCCGTGATGAAATGGAGTTTGACACTCGTGCTTTAAATGCTATCACATTATGGGAGAAACCAATTTTTGTGAAAAAATGCTTAAACTCACCGTATCTTTTTCTGCTTTTATCTCATCTATCTCCTTGTCCTTGGACTGCAGCTGTTGTTGCTGTTGTTCAATGAGGTCCAGCTGGAGCAGGAGAATTTGCCTGAGGCAGTTGGCCTGTGTGTGGGGATTGGAAGGGGTCTTCCTGATATTCCTCCACTTGCCCTCAGCGGATAGTTCAATGGATGCAGTGCCAAGGACTCCAGGGACCATCCCCTTCACACTGTCATCCGCACCTGCATCCTTAGGGTTATTGTTGAGAGCCATCTGAGGGTTATCCATATCGTCACCAGAGAGGGGTTTACCTTTCACTGGGGTTCCCTCACCCCCCATTTGTCTGACAGGGGACAAAACCCCCACAGTTTTATTGTCTCCTTGAACAACTTCTGCAACTGTGGCCGCGAGGGAAACTTTGCTTGTCATGTAACTCTGGTTTAATACATGGGATTTGCTCGGGATCTCGCCCCCGTGTGCGTTTTGAACATTTATAACAAAGTCGCAGCCTGGCTCCCTTTTGAGGGTCACGGGTCTCACGGTGGCGTTCCCGAAATGCGCCTTGTCAAAGTCAATGGTGTCAGCGTCCTGCTTGAATCCTGTGTTTGGAAACAGAGTGGACCTCAGAGTCATGGCGAACACAACGACTGTTCATCCTGCAGCGCCTCGGCGGTGCATTTCAACCTCGGCTGCCTCCCATGACAAGCTAGCATCTGCTGTCCTACAAAACAAAGAATATTTAAGACAGTTGTCGTGTCATAGATATCAGTTTAAGTGTGTGCGCTGAACTGGGCGTACATTATATTAATTTGCAAGTCATGCTTCAACAAACCGAAGATAATAAAGCATCAAGACGATGCCTGATCCCTGGCATCCTTTTGCTAAAAACTGTTTGAATTTAAGCTAAGCTACGTTAGCATTGCAGTACAAATACACATTCAGACACAACATAGTCACGCCAGGAGGATTTAAAGCTGCGTTTGTGTTTCAGAACAAGTGCTTCACACAAGGACTCGGGAGTGGCTGTGTAGGACACTGGCAGAAGCCTGCTCCTCCATTTTGGTTCTCGTGAAAGCACGAAAAACAATAACAGCTAGCTAGCTAATGTTAGCCGGCTAGTTTAACCAACAAAAAGCGAATCCGTAGCGAAGCGGGTAAATCGACCACGCTATTCAACACTCACAACCGGACATACGTGTATTAAATAACAAGTATTTATTGTGTTTTGAGCTTACCTCGACAGTTATTGAAGTCAACCTGCAGCAGCCTTCATGTTCCCTCCTTGACTTGTTTTAAAGCGCCGACCACTGCGCATGCGTAATGTGGTGGCTGGTCATTTCTTATGTTTTGATGAGAAGAGCTCCAGCCAGCAGGAGGAGACACAAAACATGTTACATACAACTTAAAAGTTAAAGTTATTTTTAATACATCCAAAAGTAAATTAACTCAACCCCTTTTTATTATCATATCGCTAATGTTAGATACATTTATATTTATTGTACCATTTTTAAACATAGGCGAAGACAGGGACAATTCCTGACTTTTTATTGTGAAATATCCCACACATTTTGGACAGGTCTGTAGTGTAATTTTTTTGAGCCACTTGTTTTTTTTAGAAGTCTTTTTTGTTACTATTTTTGCTTCAGATGAATATGCTCTTGAATATCTGATGAGTCTACTTTAATACCACAGAATACATCAACAAAAAAGTGTTTTATGTTTTATGTAATAAGTTATGTTCTATTGGTAAGTTAAATAAGAATTTGTGTTTAAAGAAAAGGTGTCTCATAATAAGCTGTTGGATTACACAAAAGTAACCGGAGATCCGTGTAACTTCTTTGGAGGAAAGTGATTTTGCTCGGAAAATTCTCTTTCCAGATAAACTTGAGTCACACATTATGGCCCAGAGTCGGCATCTTTATCTTACCAACAAACCATTAGTGGTTCATACTGCTAAGCGTTTATCATTTCACTCCCTCCCACATTTAATACAATGCTGCTTATCAGTAGACACCTGTATGTTTCATTAATGCTTTAATGTACTGGAAGTAAAATGTTTTTCCTCATGACACATGATCCAAAAACTGTATAAGAGCCAATTTTTTAAAGGCAACCCACCAGGGTATGTGAATTACTTATTTCCTGTCTTTAAAGATATTTAAAGGTAAGGAAATTTATTTTCAAATGAATTTAATGTATTCGTCCACACATTTGATTTAAGCTATATATTTGATGTCTCGAACATTTTATGTTTACTGTTCTTCTCCCATTTTAGACTAATGTACTATGACATAATTATGGATCAGCTCTCATTCAATTAAAACCTTTCTGCCTTTAGCTTTAAGGTCATCATGAAGTTTGAATCTTTGGTCCTCTGGTTGCTTGGAGCGCTGCATGCAGATGCAGACACTCAACACGAAGAGATGGGGTTCGTCCAGTTTACTTAATTTATGTCTTCACAAAGTATACTGTAGGATTATACTGTTTTAAAAAAGGAAAAACATTAGTTTTTTTGCTAAAAGATCTTTAGTGTATTTGTTCAGCACCTTGTGCTTGTGTTTTATAATAAATCTAACTTTATTTTCTCATAGGGTTCAACAAGGTGCAGAGATGCTGTTGAAAATAATCTTCTTCTGATGGCTTGATATCTTTAAATCTTGGTTGATGATTAGTTTGTAATCTTGTGTGTAGTGATAACTTAATTTACTTATATTAAAAAATCAGCACAAGGCAAAATAAAGTGAACCGTGGCTCAATAAATCTATTGTCATGTCTTCTGTTTTCTCAGAAACATTAAGAAGCATATGATGGCTGAAATACTGAGCAGTGATGGAACGTTACTTTTATTAAAATAGTTCACAATTGATATTTTTAATTCAGGCAGCCAACTTACATCGTACTTCTATGACTACATTAATGTATGACGAATAGGCCTAAGTGTTATTTACAGTATATGTTACCGGCATAATGGTTAGTTACTTAGTTAAAAAATGTTTTCCTGTTTTAAATTAACTACTGTACCAATACAATTTATCAAGTTCTTTAAGTGTGTTTCACTTTGAGCATCTAAAACATTTGGATAGCAGTCTAGAGAATACATCTGTGCTTTGACTTTAAATTATACAGAAGACCACATTCACCTTAAATACTGTACTTCAATACTGTTGTTATCTGAAATAAAATATTGTAATACTTATTCCACAATTACTTTCGTGAGTATTCTGTCTTTAGCCCTCAACATGCAGACATCCCTGTAGGTGATAGATGTATTTTCTTTTTCACCCCTTGTATGTCTTAACCTTTATGAAGTGGTGTATTCTGTTGTTAGCAGTGCGGTTCCCGTACTGGCCTGCCTTATTCTCCGGGCCACCAGGGGGCGATATGACATAAACAGAATTTACCGACGAGGAAGTGCTTTACTTCCTGGTCTTCCAAATGGAAACAGTTTTTGCTAAAGTAGCTTGATAAATCACACATATCAATCTTCGTTTCACGGAAATTGTACTTTTACATCACTTTGAGTTTAGTTTTAAAGCAGACTGCTGATTTTAAAAGCCAATGTGGGCAAAGAAGTGCGTATTTAGGGGAATTCTGCAGTGTCTGCACTGCAGTGCCAAAACAAAATATTCTCGCGGCTAACGTTAGCTTCAGTTCTCGACTAAGCTAACTATAACCTGTAAATTATCTTACTGCACATTATTCTGCGATAACACTCACTAGTTCAGATACTTTATTTAAAGTTTGGACCACACATCAGCAGAATGCACCGAAGAGGAGTTGGTGCGGGAGCCATCGCCAAAAAGAAGCTCGCAGAGGTACAATGACAGTTATTAACCTTTTTGTCTATTCCCATTAACTTGATTTACTAAGACAAGCATTTAAATAACTCACCTGTAATGAATGTTTATATTCAGGCCAAATATAAAGAAAGAGGAAATGTTCTGGCTGAGGACCAAATTGTCCAGGTGAGTTGTGTCAACAGAATGTCATTTTGAGTGAATGTAAAAGCTATAGCCTATTCCTTTTATGCTACTTTAAACTCCTACTCCACTACATTCATTTGACATTGGTAACTAGTTACAATGCAGTTTCAGACTATCAATGCAAATATAACGAAGTATGCAGTATGAGTCTACATGTAAGCTACCTAGGAGTGTATGAAGTAGTTGAAATGAGCTCCACCTTCATCAACTGTAATGTGAAAGTTATGGACACAATAAAGCATCAGTTGTAATAATCGACTTGTAGTGTATATGCTATTCTATAATGAACCATTCTTCATAATGTGTACTTTCAATTGCACATGTTGATGCAGATACTTTAAAACGTTCACAAGTAAGGTCAATTAGTTGAAACAGATAATATATATATTTAAAGTGAGCTATTGAGTACTTCTTCCACCACTGGATAATTGTTCTATATGCTAATTTTGGACATCTGAAAAATAACCATAATTGGTTTCTAGCTGCTGGCCCTCAACACATAAAACTAGACATTTAAGTTGCTTTAGAAAAACAAAAAATACTTACCTGTATGTTGAGAACATTACTAAATTAAAAATAACACTGTGTGCTTCATTAAACGCTCTTTCAAAAAACGTTTTATGAAATCAAATGCCATTTATTAATTTTGAATGCAGTTTTGTTTATTTGTATTTCCTTGTTCTGCATTTACTCACCTGTCTTTGTCTTCTAGATGTCAAAGCAGCTGGAGACCTTTAAGTCCAACCTGGAGGAGTTTGCCAGCAAGCACAAACAAGAAATCCGAAAGAACCCACAGTTCAGGGTTCAGTTTCAGGAGATGTGTGCCACCATTGGAGTCGACCCACTTGCCTGTGAGAAAGATGTGTCATTTATTCTTTGAAAATACAAGAGCCTGGTTAAATGTATTTAAATCCTATGTTATACATTTGTACATCTTTTCCCTATTTTTCTGACAGCTGGCAAAGGTTTTTGGTCTGAGATGCTTGGCGTAGGTGACTTCTATTATGAGCTCGGTGTACAGATTGTTGAAGTGTGCCTGGCCCTGAAACACAGAAATGGAGGTTTGTAATTTGGAACTAAGGAGTAATCATTTTTGTTTGACTGATAACAAAGAGGACACACACATTTCTGCAACAAAAAAACAGTGTCTAAATGTCAACACATATATTATATACAGCAAATCCAGTATAGTAGAGATAATGTGATTTATTACCTTTCTGGATTTTAGTATTAAGCCATTTAATTCCCTCTATATGCATTACATTAATGCACACAATGTTGCTTGGTTACTGCACATCATCTTATTTCATATTTTATATTCTATAACTCATTGCATTCCATTTCGCTGTAAATTACTGCTTTATTTCATTGCTATTTAACTATTTTATTACAGTGTCCTTAAACATTTTTTGTTGTATATTACATTTTTTGGTTTTATATGGAGATTCTTTGTTTTATATTTTATGTCTGCATCACGACATCAAGTCAAATTCCTCATATGTGTGAACCTACCTGGCAATAAACCTGTTTCTGTTTCTGATTCTGATTTTATATAAAATAATTGTAAAATGATATTTGTTTATTTACAGCTTTACACGGGTGATATGCAAAAAACAGGATTGTATTTTGAGATTGGAGCAGTATCAAAAATAAGCAAAAACAAAATGTAATAAGTTATTACATACTAGATACAAATACATTTTAAATCTCAGAATACAAACATGATTTCTATAACGCAGTCCGGAAACATTGATTTTGTTGAAATTTCTATTTTCTTTTAGGGCTTATTACTTTGGATGAACTCCATCAGAGAGTACTGAAAGGAAGAGGTAAATACGCCCAGGATGTGAGCCAGTAAGTGTCACTCGTTAAATATTTAGTAACTCAAGACATCTTATGCCTGTCCTAAATTGTATGATTAATACAATTAAACATTTGCCACTCAGAGATGACTTGATGAGGGCCATAAAGAAACTGAAGGTGATGGGGAACGGCTTCGGGATGATTCCTGTTGGAGGGTCTTATTTGGTCCAGTCGGTCCCAGCAGAGCTCAACATGGACCACACTGTCGTCCTGCAGCTGGCCGAGGTAAGGCAAAGATCCTGGGTTAAAAATAACAGTTGATATAACTTCCTTTCTATTACTACCATTTTTGGTAAAAGTCCAAAATACAAAAAGTTCAAATTGAATGCTTTGTCAATAACATTAAGACTTCAGCAACACTGGGAGAAATAAACAGAGAAAGTAAATGGGGAAAACACTTTGTTCTAGTCCACTGAAAACATACTAATCAATATTCAGTTTGGATCTTTCTACCACAAGATTTACTTACATTCTACATTATAGCTTGACAGATCCTTAAGCTTGTTATTAAATATGTATCACTTTTTTCTATGGCTTTCTTTCACTGTTAAAGAAGGAAGAAAATAAAACATCTAGATGAGGGGACAGTAACGTAAATTAGAATGTTCCTAATATTTGTATAGAGCACTTCTTGTGTAAATACAATGGCGAGGTAATAAAAACATAGCATAATGGTCTGGGCTTTCCCATCCTTCTCATGCATCAGGTGCCAAATACAACTTGGGCTTCTCAGCTTTACCAGGAATGGTGCTGCCTTTTTTGAATAAAGCATTTAGATAAACAAACCACTATGTAGCCAACAACGTTAGAGACTTTTTGTGATGAATTTTTTCTTATCTTCTTTCATTTGTAGAAAAAGGGCTACGTCACAGTTAGTGAAATCAAGGAAAGTCTAAAATGGGAGAAGGAACGGGCTTGTCACGTTCTGGTGAGTGCACATCAATGTATTTCAGGGAGCTGTATGACAATAAGGCTCTCACTCCTGTGTTGAAAAGAGTTATTCAGAAAATGTCCTTTCTCTTGCATGCAGTAGATTTGACTCTTAGTTAAAAAGATGTTTGTATCTGTGTGTTCGCGCTTCTTCTTTGCCAGGTGTGGCACGGTTAGATGCTACATTAAACAGCATGATTAACAGGTGTGCCTAATGCTGGTCACAGTTAAAGCCCTCTATATAATGTGCTGTTATATCTTTAAATAAAAAGATTTATCAGGCCTACCTGTCAGATAGGTGGGAATTCTTGGAAAAGAATAATACAAAATAAATATGCTTTTTGTGTGTATAAAATAAGACTATGATCTTTTATTTAAAACTCGTGAAAACATTGTAAAACTAAAGTGTGCATCTTGTGTTTTTCACTGGAACACTATTGACCTCCACTCTTTATATTTCCAGGATCACCTGCTGAAGGAAGGTTTAGCCTGGTTGGACTCTCAGGCTTCTGGAGAAGCTCAGTACTGGCTGCCAGCTCTCTTCTCCGAAATCATCTCCCGTGATGTCACGCCAGAGGAGGCCAATCAGATGACGCCTTGAGAAATGACCGCCAGCTGGTGGACAGCTTCAGAGACATGTTGGTAAACAAAATGTGCCTGGTGGGTGAGGCTCATGTGATGAAGTTGGCTGGGCGAAGATCAATTTCTGGACAAGAGGGGCGCTCTTTAACTTCTATGCAATGAATGGATTCACTTTATAAGACACTGCTGCATTTAAACTTCAGTGTTGCTGGTGTCACGGTTTATGGATGGTTACGGATCAATGTGCAGAACATGTCATTGTTTCTTGGGTTTTCTATAAAGAACAACTTTTAAAAACCAGATGCATTTTTTCCATTTGGTTTTTATTACGTCAGCAGAATATTCAAATGCGCTTTATTAAATTGAATTGATCCTTCAAAACATTCACATCGCTCAACCTCGCATCAACAACTCATTCTGCCATACACCCTTAAAATCAAATCAACAGAAGGTGAATAAAATGTTTCAATCAGCACGATCTGGTTATACTAGATCAACAATTTTCTCTTAAAGATAAGTGCAATGCTATACTGTAAATATAGAATTGTGGTGAATACATATATGAAGTTTAAAATGACATTTTAATGATTTATTCAACCCAATGGAACGGTCTATTGTTTAAGCATGTTTTGGCCTTTTTTACAGAAAGTCATGAATACCTTACTGCTGTTTATTTGGTTGTCATTTATTTTAGTACAATATATGAAAATCACCTCTCAAAGGTTTGAAAGTCCTTCAATTGTCTACTTTAATGTTTATACCTTTTTATTATGGAGGTTTGTAAGGGCTGGGTTCCAAACATCAGTTCTTTTTTATCTCCCTTTGTCCAAAACATCAGTGATCATAACATTTATTTCTTCTATGATGAAAAAGTTAAATCATACATTATCAGATTTAATCCAAAAATGGATTTTACAATAGCATATTAGGGACTTTATATTATATATAAATTATAATTTCAGAGTAATATAGGAAGCAAAAAACACCTGAGATATGCTTCAAAATCAAGTAAAAAAAAAAGGTTACGAGAAAAATACTCCCCAGTGTTTTTAAGACTTTTGTTTAGGCAAAACATATCTGATTTATGCTTAGACAGCATTCAACATTTAAGAACTTTGGCTTTCATTCTTAAATAAGAATATGGGATTCCGGTATTAATAGACGAAAACCTGTTATCTAAATATTTCAAATGTTGCCCAGTTCTGGGGAAGTTTACTTTTAAGTGCATGTCAGGATATAACATTTTCCCCAAATAAATGAGGACATGATGGATTAGATGCTGTAAATCAGGTAGGATTCATGTCTTTAGCAGCTGCTTATATCTGCATGCTGGACATTAACGAATGGAAAGAACCCTTCAGAAAGCGTAAGTATGCTTTGATAAATGATCTATAGTAAAGTTGATACACAGGAGATGTGTAGAGAAAATATCAACATGGTCCTTTTACACATGACCACCCATCTTGTTAGAGGTTTTCTTTCTCTAGCCGTTTCTCACAGCTCGTGGCCGTAGACGTGATCTTCGAACTCCGCCTGCTCCATGTTGTCACAGATCAACGTGCAGTAGGGACACAATCGGTGACTCCGCTCGTGCTGCTCCAGTTCGTGTTGGGTTATGCCGGGGAAGCTCTCCTGGCAGTGACGACACACCAGCACCTGCTGAAATAGAGACGGTAACAAAATACGGAGCGGATTACGTGTTAAGGCCTCCTGCAAAAATAAACGGTAAACAGGCCAGGCACGCTCAAGCTCAAGTGTTAGATCCAAAGCTCCGTCAGGGAGGGAGGATTTCTCTTTTAGTGTGTGTTTTGATGGGTTGGCGGTTGCCTAAGTTTGTTTCAACACTAGAAATGACAAAAGTGTACTAGGGCCATTGTAGGAAAATGATATATGTTATCTGACTCGCATATGAACGAACAATGTGGTTGTGTCAATGAACCACATTGCCTTACCTTGAAAAATTGGACATTTTATGAATCTCAGAGAATAATCAAGTTATTTTTTCTCCCAGCTGCTTTATTTATTTTACCTACAATGGCCCTAATACATTTGATGTACGAATTTGGTCATTTAGGTTGTATAAAACAGGTTGTTAACTAGCTTTTACTTTATAGGTACTCTATAGGTTTCCATTTAGTACCATGTCTTCATAGTGTCAGAGAAATATGTAGAGGGATGTTTAGCAAATACTGATATGAAAAATAAGAGCTAGAAAATATAAATAGAACAGCTGTCACATGTTGTTGATATGAATCATTTGAGTGATGGGACAGGTGAGGTTGTGGCTTCCTTCCTTCCCTAATGATGTACTAATGTTATTTAACTTACCTCCTGCTCTGTGTCTTCAGCCCTTCCTGGAGGGAAAGAGTATGCATTTTCTGGAAAATATATTGGGAAATGGTTAGTAGATATAACAACTTTAACAACAAGGTTATGTTTTTTTATGGTTTATCTTACAAATGAAATGTCTGACAAATGAAGTAACGTGATCATATAGACATTTTTATAAATCTGCCAGATGTTAATACATGTAAATGCTAACGATAAATAACAATACATATTCTGATTTTGAATGATAAAAAATCTATATATATATTTGTGTCTTGGTGTCTTGGTTTACAAGACAGTGGAAGTGGTCAACATTTAATTCATCACAAAATAAGTAAATATTTTACGGCTGGATCTTATACTAAATATTTTTGAATTCCTTCCCAAACTTTGCAAATAGATTCTGCTTCCACAAAATATTCCTTCCCTGAAGCACAACTTAAAGGGGACCCAGTTGTGCTTTTTGGGTATTCTTTTCCTGTAGTGTGTTATATAGGTTTTTGTGCATGTAAATGGTCTGCAAAGGCTAAAATCCCAAAGTTCTCTCCAGAGAGAGTTTCTCTCCCACACACCCACACTCCCCCCCCCTGAAATGCCTCCATTTGATTCCTTTGCTTACTTCAGTATATGGACATCACTATGTAACACTATGTAATCGCTATTGGCTAGCACTCCAACACAATGCACGTGATAGGCTAAAGGGCGGGACATCTCAAGCGATTGACCAATCACAAAACCGGCCAGCTAACAGCTAACTCAACCTGAAAATGAGCATAATAGGGCCCCTTTAAGTTCCATAATCATTCAGGCAAAATAACTCAACGTGGATGAAGGTAATTTCACTAAAAACAACAAACCCGACATCCTAGTAAAAAGTAAAGTTGAAACAGTTAAACCCATTCTCAGTTTCACATACTGTAGCTTACATTACAAAAAAGTCTTCCTTGGAGTTTAAGCTGCCGCTACAGCTAATGCTAGTGTTCCTGAGCCAAACTGTGCACATAGTAATAGTTTTCTTTTGTTTAAATAATACTTCACGTTAAGTTCTATACTCTAGTATATCTAAAAAAAGGTGTGTAACTTGTGTTTAAATCATAAAGCAACACATCATTTCCCCCTAACATGACCAGTGTTGGGACTAACGCGTTACAAAGTTTGCGGTAACTAATAGCGTTACTAGTTACCTATTCCCATTAAGTAACGCCGTTATAGTTACTGTGATTTAAATGGGTGCGTTACTGCGTTACATTATGTGATGGAACTGAACCGAATCTCCCTGCTGATGTAACTTACAGGCGAATACAGCGATGTTCTCTCATAGCACCATGGAAAAGTGAGAGTGACCAGAAAGGAGTGATGATTGGTTAACGCGGGGTAACATTTCAGGGTAAGCCAATCAGAGACAGAGTTGGGCGGGTCATGCCAGCACGGCCACCACACAACAAAAAATGGGATGGAACTGAACCGAATCTCCCTGCTGATGTAAC